TGGCTCAGGCTACGAAGGAACAAAAACGGACAGCCCCCTTGCCGGTGATAAGGTCCAGATAGCTGCTCCCGTTCGATTCGGATGGATACAAGGAGTTCTGGTGAGTTTGTGTATCTCACTTCTGCTTTCCTCTTTTTATCTCTGAAACCGTTACGTGAAAAATGTGGCTTAGTGCAAGCGTAATTTTAGGGTTAGTGTACCTAGTCGAACCATAGTGGCTCGAAGTTGGCCTACCTGGCTTGAAGGCCTTGCATTCCGAATGGGACAGGATTTTGTTTTCTCAAAACTGATATCGGCCTCTAGGTAATTTGCTGGGAAATAAAGGCAGTCGAACATCCTTATGCATCACCAAACCGGACCTTCATTCGTTGTTAATTTCTACAGGTTTTACCCTTTCATGGATTTGAAAGAAAACGGATACCAGAACGTTGCTCATCTTTGATGTATGTCAGATGTGGGGCGGTCATCTTGAGACTATCATTATGACATCACCGTGTCATGTCACCATGTCATGTCACCGTGTCATGTCACGGGCTTAACACTTTTGACATCCTTAACAACATTATTAACAGATTACTAGACAGTGATATGGTTACTGTAATTTATATCACACTGTTAATGTTTTGATTTGAAACCTCTAGAATATTATCATAATCATGTGCCGTGTCTGTAAGTGTAGGCCGCCATGAATCGCCATCTCAATAGATCGCCAGAATCACGGATCAGTTAACGGCTTTTTTTTTTTTTTTTGTGGGTCTGTCTCGCTCCGTCTATCTGACCAAGCCATCCAGGCTATTGCTTTCCTCTTGCTTTCTACCCATCAATATTTGTGGGGTCATAATCTCACGTTCTTCGACGTTAGGCATGGAATCACACTATAGTGACAACCAGTATGGTCACTGACAAGAAGGAAAGTCATGGCAAACGATTTTCTTCAAGATGCCGAGAATAGTCAGCGAGTTCACAACTTACACATCTTCAGATAAACGGCGTGAATGGGTGCTCCTTGGGAGTAGCATTCTCCGGTGGTAAGAGTCATGTGTGCTCCATAGGAGTAGCATTCTCCGGTGGTAAGAGTCATGTGTGCTCCATAGGAGTAGCATTCTCCGGTGGTAAGAGTCATGTGTGCTCCTTAGGAGTAGCATTCTCCGATGGTAAGAGTCATGTGTGCACCATAGGAGTAGCATTCTCCGGTGGTAAGAGTCATGTGTGCTCCTTAGGAGTAGCATTCTCCGGTGGTAAGAGTCATGTGTGCTCCATAGGAGTAGCATTCTCCGGTGGTAAGAGTCATGTGTGCTCCATGGGAGTAGCATTCTCCGGTGGTAAGAGTCATGTGTGCTCCATAGGAGTAGCATTCTCCGGTGGTAAGAGTCATGTGTGCTCCATAGGAGTAGCATTCTCCGGTGGTAAGAGTCATGTGTGCTCCATAGGAGTAGCATTCTCCGGTGGTAAGAGTCATGTGTGCTCCATAGGAGTAGCATTCTCCGGTGGTAAGAGTCATGTGTGCTCCATAGGAGTAGCATTCTCCGGTGGTAAGAGTCATGTGTGCTCCATAGGAGTAGCATTCTCCGGTGGTAAGAGTCATGTGTGCTCCATAGGAGTAGCATTCTCCGGTGGTAAGAGTCATGTGTGCTCCATAGGAGTAGCATTCTCCGGTGGTAAAAGTCATGTGTGCTCCATAGGAGTAGCATTCTCCGGTGGTAAGAGTCATGTGTGCTCCATAGGAGTAGCATTCTCCGGTGGTAAGAGTCATGTGTGCTCCATAGGAGTAGCATTCTCCGGTGGTAAGAGTCATGTGTGCTCCATAGGAGTAGCATTCTCCGGTGGTAAGAGTCATGTGTGCTCCATAGGAGTAGCATTCTCCGGTGGTAAAAGTCATGTGTGCTCCATAGGAGTAGCATTCTCCGGTGGTAAAAGTCATGTGTGCTCCATAGGAGTAGCATTCTCCGGTGGTAAAAGTCATGTGTGCTCCATAGGAGTAGCATTCTCCGGTGGTAAAAGTCATGTGTGCTCCATAGGAGTAGCATTTTCCGGTGGTAAAAGTCATGTGTGCTCCATAGGAGTAGCATTTTCCGGTGGTAAAAGTCATGTGTGCTCCATAGGAGTAGCATTCTCCGGTGGTAAAAGTCATGTATGCTCCATAGGAGTAGCATTCTCCGGTGGTAAGAGTCATGTGTGCTCCATAGGAGTAGCATTTTCCGGTGGTAAAAGTCATGTGCACCTGGTGACCCCTCTCTATATATACATGTATGCTTTGTTTCTTCTCTTTGCGTTTGCTGTTCCTACACCCACCACGCAAGATCACATCTTCACTGTCATCTTCACATCAGGTTTTCCCGCATGTGTATAAAGGGAAAGGATGACGGCCATAATTAGGCCACTTGTGAAGCGGGTAATCCATCAGTGGAGGACATCGACCTCTGAACTGTTGGAGCCTTTTCAGCTGGAACTGAGTGGCGCAAGCTGCTTTCTAAAAATAACCAGAGGTCATCACTGGTAA